TGGTTTTCTAAAAAAATAAATAAAAAATAAGCGCCTTGCAAACCTTTTTTTGAGATTTTTTTTTCTAAGAGCAAATAATCTTCCATACATCTTTTTACAAATGTGCAGTGAGATGACATATGCATCTAGTACACATCATGCTGAGAGTTAATTGTTTACATCATCTGTCACGTTGTGCATGGCTAGATAATGTAGTCAGAGGCTGACTGGAGCTCTTTCCTTTTCCACATTTTTTTCAAAAATCAGGATGAACATAAAATAAATTGGCCTTTACTTTGCTTTACAATTTGTAATTGTGTTAGTTTCTGGTTTTATAAAAAAAGAATCAGATGTGTCAGATGTGTACATATTCAATGTATATTTTTTCCTGTTCTGCTGTTTTTAGTAAAGACAAGCTAGTAGATTTCTGTTATATTGTTCTGTCAACAATCTTTAAAACCCTTTGAAAAAAACACAGATGTCAATTTGTGACACATGTAAAACATATGGATGACAGCATACAATACTGAGAAAAAAATGTGTAAATCACATATCTCACACATACAATGTAGAGAGAGATCAATATTAATAATAGATAATCGAATAAAAAAAAATAAAGACAATATTTTGTTATGAGTTACGTATTCAAGGCTGATTCAATATGTCATATTTTTTGTAAGGGAGCCTTAAAGGACCACTATAGTTCCAGGAAAACATACTCGTTTTCCTGGCACTGTAGTGCCCTGAGGGTGCCCCCACCCTTAGGGTCCCACTCCCGCCGTGCTGGATGGCGAGGAAAGGGTTAAATCTTACCTTTTTTCCAGCGCCGGGCGGGGAGCTCTCCTCCTCCTCTCCGCCTCCTCTCCTCCTCTTCGGCTGAAACGCATGCGCGGCAGGAGCTGCGCACGCATTCAGCCAGTCTCATAGGAAAGCATTCATAATGCTTTCCTATGGACGCTTGCGTCTTCTCACTGTGATTTTCACAGTGAGAAGCACGCAAACGCCTCTAGCGGCTGTCAATGAGACAGCCACTAGAGGCTTTAGAGGCTGGATTAACCCATTTATAAAATTATAAAAAAAAGGGTTAATCCTAGAGGGACCTGGCACCCAGACCACTTCATTAAGCTGAAGTGGTCTGGGTGACTAGAGTGGTCCTTTAAGATTTAGCACTAGTGATACTCCCCAGCAGCACCTTCAGTATTAAGAGTATACAATACCCAGTTCACATTTAAAGGTACACAACATAAATATAGTCATTAAGAATTGTGCTGTAAACCAAGAATTGTTTGTCAGATTTAGGATGGTGAGCGCTAGGGCAAATTCTCTTCCCAAAAAGGCATGGCAATAAAGGGATAACTGAGAGGTCACCCCTACTCTGTCCCAAAATACCTGCATCCAAGTAATAAAAATAAATAAATACTCCGTCCCAACTCAGTAAGCCTGCACATAGAGGAAAAGGGGCATTTAATTTATTGTCATTGCAGAAATTAGATGCCTAAATATGTGTAGGTATTTGTCAATGAAATGATCCAGAAGTTTGGGCTCTGGATCTGCCCCTGCTGCAACATTTGCCATTGTCATTGTGATTTGCTGTTTGATATTGGTGGGAATTGTAGTCAAATTATTACTGGAGTTCCAACCATTCTTTTACGCCTGATCTAGAACATGAACATTTAGATCTATTTAAGTAAATTATACTACACTTGTGAATTATACTATACTTGCCTATGCATGATAATTACCATGATCTAAGGTGTCTCAGTAGTAAGCTGTCAGAGGATATTAGTCTTTGGTCTTCAGAACATGACATGATTCAGTCCCCACAGCAGGCTTATTGGGTAAATTACTGTATAATAATACTACTTCAAGATGCTATCGTGCTGTTTAAAATGATGCAGTACTCCGCTTATAGTTCAACCTGTCTTTAAACGGTTTTCAATCAAGCTTAGGTTTTCAAAGTCAGAGTATTTATTATATTATGAAAAATGTAATCTAATTGCAAGATTTATTTATTTGGCCAGGGGGGATTGCGGTGGTCTTATCAACACTGAATCCCGCAAGGCAGCCATGATTTAAAAAAATACTTGCAGTATATGTTAAACACTTGTCACAGGTTAAATGGGACATCTGTCTCCCAAATTAATTTATTTAATATATTACTAGTTTATAGGCTGTTAGTTGCAATATGAGAAATGTCTAAAGAAGGTTACATTTGAAAATAACAATAACCCTTAAAACATTTTCATTATCACCTCTTAATCCCTCTCACGTGACTTCACATTTAAGCAATCACTACTATATATCTATTAGCAATAAGTAGTTGTGTTACCCTGTACCAACTATGGTACAAAGTGTGTGCAATGGTGGTTCAAGTGTGTCCAATTATGCTAAGGCACAGTCTAATGCAGGGTCAAGTGGTCCTCGTTGTCCTCTGTTTAGGTCTCTATGGGCACCTTTGCATGAGTTTGGCTAACCTTGATTTGTTTTAAAAAAAACAAAAAACAAAGACCATATTGATTTTAAGGTTATCCTTCAGAACATATTGTGTTTAAAGTTATTATTTTCCTATGGATACTTTCATAATACCTTCTTTACAGGGAGTGCAGAATTATTAGGCAAGTTGTATTTTTGAGGATTAATTTTATTATTGAACAGCAACCATGTTCTCAATGAACCCAAAAAACTCATTAATATCAAAGCTGAATATTTTTGGAAGTAGTTTTTAGTTTGTTTTTAGTTATAGCTATATTAGGGGGATATCTGTGTGTGCAGGTGACTATTACTGTGCATAATTATTAGGCAACTTAACAAAAAACAAATATATACCCATTTCAATTATTTATTATTACCAGTGAAACCAATATAACATCTCCACATTCACAAATATACATTTCTGACATTCAAAAACAAAACAAAGCTCAATCGGTGACCAAACATATTTCACAGGACCTCCAAGCCTGCCATCCATGGATTCTGTCAGTGTTTGATCCTGTGTTCCTGTACATACTTAATACAACCTCCCAGACTGTTCCAGAGGTTATAATTTCCCTCCTTGTAAATCTCACATTTGATGATGGACCACAGGTTCTCAATGGGGTTCAGATCAGGTGAACAAAGAGGCCATGTCATTAGATTTTCTTCTTTTATACCTTTCTTGCCAGCCACGCTGTGGAGTACTTGGACGCGTGTGATGGAGCATTGTCCTGCATGAAAATCATGTTTTTCTTGAAGGATACAGACTTCTTCCTGTACCACTGCTTGAAGAAGGTGTCTTCCAGGAACTGGCAGTAGGACTGGGAGTTGAACTTGACTCCATCCTCAACCCGAAAAGGCCCCACAAGCTCATCTTTGATGATACCAGCCCAAACCAGTACTCCACCTCCACCTTGCTGGCGTCTGAGTGGGACTGGAGCTCTCTGCCCTTTACCAATCCAGCCACGGGCCCATCCATCTGGCCCATCAAGACTCACTCTCATTTCATCAGTCCATAAAACCTTGGAAAAATCAGTCTTGAGATATTTCTTGGCCCAGTCTTGACGTTTCAGCTTGTGTGTCTTGTTCAGTGGTGGTCGTCTTTCAGCCTTTCTTACCTTGGCCATGTCTCTGAGTATTGCACACCTTGTGCTTTTAGGCACTCCAGTGATGTTGCAGCTCTGAAATATGGCCAAACTGGTGGCAAGTGGCATCGTGGCAGCTGCACGCTTGACTTTTCTCAGTTCATGGGCAGTTATTTTGCGCCTTGGGTTTCCACACGCTTCTTGCGACCCTGTTGACTATTTTGAATGAAACGCTTGATTGTTCGATGATCACGCTTCAGAAGCTTTGCAATTTTAAGAGTGCTGCATCCCTCTGCAAGATATCTCACTATTTTTGACTTTTCTGAGCCTGTCAAGTCCTTCTTTGACCCATTTTGCCAAAGGAAAGGAAGTTGCCTAATAATTATGCACACCTGATATAGGGTGTTGATGTTATTAGACCACACCCCTTCTCATTACAGAGATGCACATCACCTAATATGCTTAATTGGTAGTAGGCTTTCGAGCCTATACAGCTTGGAGTAAGACAACATGCATAAAGAGGATGATGTGGTCAAAATACTCATTTGCCTAATAATTCTGCACTCCCTGTATAGCCTGTCCCTGCAGGCTTTTTGATGTAAACACACTGCCTTTTCAGATAACAGATACTGTGTGCAGCACTAGTGTTGGCCCATATGGCAGATCATATGGGTAGGGCATTGTGATGTCACATGGTGGGCAGAACATATGGGGGGGGGTGGCAAATTTTTGTTTGCCTAGGATGTGTGGAGCCTCTGACAGGTGCAGATTTGGTGTTATGGCTCGCAAGCCTTTTGTACTGACTGCAGGCCCGGACTGGCCGTCGGGCACAACGGGCAAATGCCCTGTGGGGCGCGATGTCCATGGGCCGAGGCCAGCAGGGGAGGTCACAGGATCTCTTAAACGGGTCCATGCTGTATGTGGGTGCTGTATGTGTGTGCTGTGTGTGTGTGGATGCAGTATGTGTGAAGGTGCTGTATGTGTGTGCTGTGTGTGTGTGTGTGTGTGTTGTATGTGTGTGGGTGCTATATGTGTGTGCTGTATGTGTGTGAGGGTGCTGTATGTGTGTGTGCTGTATGTGTGTGCTGTGTGTGTGTGTGTGTGTGTGTGTGCTGTATGTGTGTGTGTGTGTTGTGTGTGTGTGTGTGTGTGTGTGTGTGTGGTGTGTTGTGTGTGAGGGTGCTGTATGTGTGTGTGTGCTGTGTGTGTGGGGGTGCTGTATGTGTGTGTGTGCCTGTGTGTGTGTGTGTGTGTGTGTGTGTGTGTGCTGTGTGTGTGTGGGTGCTGTATGTGTGTGCTGTGTGTGTGTGTGGGTGCTGTATGTGTGAAGGTGCTGTATGTGTGTGCTGTATGTGTGTGCTGTGTGTGAGGATGCTGTGTGTGTGCGTGTGCTGTATGTGTGCGTGTGCTGTATGTGTGTGTGTGCTGTGTGTGTGGGGGTGCTGTATGTGTGTGTGTGCTGTGTGTGTATGGGTGTTGTATGTGTGTACTGTGTGTGGGTGCTGTATGTGTGTGTGTGCTGTGTGTGTATGGGTGTTGTATGTGTGTACTGTGTGTGGGTGCTGTATGTGTGTGCTGTGTGTGAGGATGCTGTGTGTGTGCGTGTGCTGTATGTGTGCGTGTGCTGTATGTGTGTGTGTGCTGTGTGTGTGTGTGTGGGTGCTGCGTGTCTGTGTGTATGTGTGTGCTGTATGTGTAGGTGCTGGTGTGTGTAAGTGTGTGTGCTGTATGTGTGTGTGGGTGCTGTGTATGTGAAGGTGCTGTATGTGTGTGCTGTATGTGTGTGTGCTGTGTGTGATGCTGTGTGTGTGTGTGCAGGCTGTATGTGTGTGCATGTGCTGTATGTGTGTGTGTGTGCTGTGTGTGGGGGGTGCTGTATGTGTGTGTGTGTGCTGTGTGTGTGTATGGGTGTTGTGGCTGTGTGTACCGTGGGGTGCTGTATGTGTGTGTGTGCTGTGTGTGTATGGGTGTTGTATGTGTGTACTGTGTGTGGGTGCTGTATGTGTGTGCTGTGTGTGAGGATGCTGTGCGTGTGCGTGTGCTGTATGTGTGCGTGTGCTGTATGTGTGTGTGTGCTCTGTATGTGTGTGTGTGCTGTGTGTGTGTGGGTGCTGTGTGTCTGTGTGTATGTGTGTGCTGTATGTGTGTAGGTGCTGTGTGTGTGGGTGTGTGTGCTGTATGTGTGTGTGTGCTGTATGTGTGTGTGGGTGCTGTGTGTCTGTGTGTGATGTATGTGTGTAGGTGCTGTGTGGGTGCTGTGTGTGTGGGTGTGTGTGCTGTATGTGTGTGGGTGATTGTGGGGGTGGGGGTACATTACTTAATATCCCCCCTCCCTTCTTACCTTATGTAGGGAGGGGGGATTCTTGCTCCTGCTGCTTTCCCTGGTGGTCCAGTGGAGAGTGAACTCTAGCCCCTGTGGGGCTAGAGTTCATTCTCGCGAGATCTGAGCGTTGCCGCGGCTGCTGGTTGAGCTCCCCAGGTCCTCTCCTGCCCCCCTCCATGCTGCAGTGGGGAGGGAGGCTGAGAGCAGAGCCGGTGCTCGGATAGCGCCGGCTCTGCATGAGCCGACAGGGGAGATCCTGAGATCCCCGTGCGCAGCCTATGGCAGGCAGCCTGACATGCATTCATATAGCGTATAACCGAACGCACGTGTTCAAACAATTGGCGGCCATTTTGTCTCCCAAACATGGGCAGCAGTATATGTTCATCAACTGTGTGGAACTATTTTTGGACATGCGACCCCACGAACACCCGGGAAACTGGTACCGCTGCCCATGCAATTTCCTGAACAGCTAGGAAAACGAAGTTCAGGAGGCATAAACTACCGAACAAGGGGAGTATTCGTACCATAACAGCCAGGGAATGGATTTATCAGTGTTCGAGTGAAAACCCCTGAACGATGACCGGTCGTTGCCTTAAGTTCTCTGGAACTGTTTTGGGGCATCATCTCGTTGGCCAACTGGTAAAAACTTTATTTGAATGGCGTATTATACAACAAATCTCTGTATCTTGTGATTATGGTTTTTTGTTTTGTTTTTATTTTTATATATCTAAGATGTAAACACTGTAAATTAAAGCCCAGGTAACAAAAAGATTAAAAATAAAATTGGTTCTGTGATTTGGTATTTATAAACTGGCATGCATGTTAAACACAGTTTTTCCATACACATATATATATATATATATACAGGATAATAACTAAAGTGAAAATTTAAAGTGAATTTCAAATTTAAGGCTGAAGTAACCAAACTGGACACTGACTTGGAAAAAAAAAATTTCAGTTTCACTATTTTGACTTAAAATGTGAAATTCTCTTTGAATTCAATTTGAATTCTCACATTATTAAATAACCTTGCTTTGGGAATTATACACATTCTTTGTAGAAGATCAGTTATCTTATGATTCCGCAATACTAAGCAACAAGACAATTAACATTAAGTAACCATGCATTATTCCAAAAAGAAAATCCCTCTGACTGTAAATTATAGGTTGCATTTTATTGAACTATTATTCATACCCACTTCATTTCAGAGCAGAGCAAGCTTTTAATCCTCAGAAAATGTGTGAAGCTTTGTACATTTTACAGCATTTTTTATTTAATGTTTTGAAGCTAGTATTTACTAAGTAATCCTCAAATTTCATAAAGCACAGGTGATGGTGTAACCCTGTTGCTCTACCATCTTGCAAATAACTATCTCAATTTGTTAAGAGCTTTAGGTGCCATCATTAAGAGTCCTACCAACAAAAGTAAAAATGTCCAAACATATTTTAAAGGGTATTTAGTGGAAACAAGTCATATGAAGTAGACTTAAGACAGGTACTTGAGGTCACCCCGTACTAGTCAAAAATAAAGAAATATGGAGATAAAGATATTAAATTAAAAAAATAGATAACATTATTATAAACCTACAATTATTGCCAAATGGCACCAAACCTACTTTAAGAAAAGAGCCCCACAGATAACATTGAGATACCACATGTCAAACATAATTACAGTTTATTCGGCTGAGTCCAGAGTATGGAACTTTGTGTGGGAAATGGAAAGCTATTATACTAAAAGACATATTGATCGATATTTCCTAACCTATTAATACAATCTTTATTTTTTACTATATCATCCCCCTTTTTATTTCATGCATATTGATTTTCTTTAAGAAATCTCTGGGGGTAGGGCCTGATTGTCAAGCTGAGCCCTTTTTAGCTGCTAAATCGTTGCTTTTATCTATTGATGTGATTTTGGTGGATACTTACCTGCTTTTCATATCCGGTGGACTCTTTGTGCATGGTTTTCTTGGAGACATTGGACATGGTGCACTGGTGGCTGATCTGGAGCAGCCTGTGCTTTTGTGGCTTTCTTGATTGTGTCTCGTACCCTTTCCTCCTGGGGATAATCCTGGTTCCCCCGGAATAGCTTTGTTATTGCACATCAAGGGCAGTTATTTTTGTTGCCCTCTGTGGTTTGGTAGCTGATACTAAAGATGGTTGTTGTCTCCTTGCCAGAGAAATTGCTGACGTGGAGCCTACTACACCCACAAGTAAAGACCTCTCTAGATTATTGGCTAAATTTGACCAAAAAGACCTACAACTCCTGCTACAGGTGTTTCCAGTTATTACAAG